AAAATTTTGTTTGAGACGATTTATGTAGGCAAGCCTAGTGCCTGAAAGTATGTAATCAGTTGCTCCAGATATTTGGGGCACTAAATGGATTTAATACTCTTTCATGGCTATCTAGCTGGTACAAGAGGTACAAAGACTATAGGGAAAGAGTGTACTACAGGAGAAAGGGCTGGGTTTGTGCCCTTTGGCAGAGCCAGATCTTTCTCTTTCAATACTTCCAAGGTTTCTCTGCCCAGAGTTCAAAATTCAAGGTTCTTGTACAACCCAGAAATTTGAGATTTGCCCTCCATGCCCTTCTCTTTCTGGGGAGACTATTTAAATGTGGTCTCTCTCTGCTTAAATGGAAGTTTCGCTCTGAGCTTCCCCTCCCTGGGAAAACTAAAGACAAGTACCTCTCAAGGTGGAGTTATTCTGTCAAGTAAGATGTGTGCTATATAGCAAATGCCCAAACATTATGAGCTGGGGGGAAGAGCAAAAGGAGTTCTTAAATTATTTAGTCTTAGGAATTTTTTTAAGTTTTAAGAATATTTACATGGGTTGTATGTGTGTGTTTCATGAGTGATTGTGTCTCTACATGCACATGTGCATTAGCTAATGAATAATCGTGGCTGGGGTGGTAGGGTGGCAGCTATACTGAGTGGTCAGCAGTTTGATCAAGGCTCCCTTTTTTTCATCCCTTACATTCATTTAAACCTCCTGGGTATTCATAGGTATTATACTCTAGTATAATGTCTGTGACTGATATTCATACAAACTTTTAAAGAATTGATCACTTAATTTTCTCATGATCCTCAACCAACCTAGCTTAAGCAAAACACTTAAAACAGAATTTAGGAGGAAACTTTGTAAGGGCTGAAGGGTAAATTTAAATTTTTGACTGTGAGACCTTTCTGTTGACAATACCTCCACAACTTTGGGGTCTACCTTCTTGAATAAGTAATCAGCAAACACAGAACAGGACTTATGCTTTTTATGTGATACAGGATCAATCATGTGGTGTCTTCATAGGTACTGGGTAAGACATTGATCTTGTCATCAGGGTTCTAGGCCTGGGGGTCCCTATATGCCAGGCTCACCCAGTCATCACAAAGTGACAATCAGAAGAGCAGCTGTGTTGCAGGGCAGTACAACAGCTTAATCAGCATGGCCCCATGGAGAAAGACAGATAAAGAGGTTCAAGATCCTGTCTTAGGGGTTTTATAGAAAAAAATAGAACAAAGGCAAGGGTCGGGTATGTGCCTAAGTGAAGGCTTTGCATAGCAAAATAAGTAATCCTAGTTAGGGAATGGTCTGATTGATCAGCATCTCTAGGAGAACCATCATCCCTGAAAGGGTAATGGTTCCCATGTGAAGTGATCATGCATACTTGGGATAGTCTCATTATGGAATGGTCTGTTCTGCAAGGCTTGCTTTGCTTGGGACTATTTTTGGTCTCTCATCATAAAGATGCCTAGCAAACAGACCTGTTCATTCCTAGAATCTAAGGTGACTACAGAAGAAAGTAACTCAGGAAAAAAAAAAAAAGTTATAAGGAGGTAAATAGAACCAGAGAGGAACAAAATGGAGTTAGGCTAGGGACTAGGCTTTCCTTTGATCTAAATTTTTTCCTGCCTGCACACAGATTTCTGTAAGTTATGTTTTTGAACAGATGTCAATGCTATCCTGTTGTTGTTTATCTCTTTCTCTGAAAAAGGAATTCAAATTTTTTTATTAACTAGTTGTGGCTTTACTATGCATAGACAAGTAGTTTGAATTGTTCTAGAGAAGTAATTGTTGTTTAATTCATACACTTTTTTGGTGTCACCCACTAAAGACAATGAAGAATATGTAATCCTGTGACATCAATATTGCAGTCATACTAATTTATTATTTTCAGAATATGATACCTTTGAGTCACATTCATTAGGGCATACTCTTTAAGGTGCTTGTTTCCCTAATGATGATGAATTCATGGTGACTCAACTCTTCTTCCAGAGTCTTTTGAGTACCCAATAACTTTCATTTGCAAGACAAATGGCTGGTTCAGCAGCAGTCTGTACAGAAATGAGAGAAGTAAACTAAGCCAGGTAAATAACTTGAGAGTCTTTTTAAAACTTAAACTGAGTTATACTGTTTTTATTTTTCTGTTTGGGGGATTTATGAATATGTAGGGGAAAAGTAGAAAATTTCATAAGAAATGTACAAAATTAAATCATAATTAGTTTTGCTTTTAATCACTGTGCTTAGAATACAATTATGAAATTATACAATTACAAAATGTTGAACATAACCCAGAGAATTTCAGACAAATCTCTTTGAATTCTGACTTCTTTCTGAACCCAAGCCTGTTCTTCAGTTCCATTTGGATGGACTTCAGCCATCCTCTAGCTCAGCGTATCCAAAAGTAAATTCCTGGGCCAGGGATTTAGCTCAGTGGTTCTACCACTTGCTTTGCAAGTGCACGGTTCCAAGTTCAATCGCCACTACCAAAAAAAACAAAAACAAAAAACAAAAGTAAATTCCTTATATTCTTTCTTAGACTTCCACCTGTACTTGTTCTCTTGGTCTCTGCTCTTCCTCCCAAGCTTGAGTCATCTTGGTCTCCTTTCTCTCATCCTCCTATGTTGCAAGTCAGCCTCCTGTCCCACTACATCTTCCTGCTGTACTCTATTCCAGAGCCTCTGCCTTAAGTCTCCACCATTTCTCCCAAGCAAAGTCTATACAGATGCATCTCCCTAACCTGCAACATAACTGTGGATTAGCATACACACTCTTTTCTGTTTTGTTCTCACATAGCATTAACTCCATCCCATCAGCTACTTTCACATGAAGTCCTTTCACAACTCCAGCCTTTGAAGGGGCCACCCTGCTTCTCTGCTGAGCAAGCACTGATTCACCAATGAAAGAATCAGAGAATATCTACTGCTTATTTATTCTTGAGTAGGTCTAATTTTACTCTTAAACCTGTGCAGTGTTAGGCCACTGGGTCTGTTTTCAAAATGTTTTCCCCTCTGTATTTCTCCATGTACATTGTCTCTTTTATCTCCCCAGACACCATGAACATATACAATTTTCTCTTTACTGTATCTTATTTTATTACCTTTTACCTTCCTTAATTTATAGCATAATTTTGACTAAAATACTCATGTTCAGCTCTTATGGTTCTTTTCTCTCAGCCCTGGTATCAGAACACCACGACTCTTCCTCTTCTGAAAGATGCCAATAAAAGAACTCTGCTATTAAAAGCCTTTTATTCTTTAATAATTTAATGATCAACACCCCTGCCAGTTGATCTCATCTGAATTGACTGCCCCTGCAGAAGGCAGTTTAAGTCATCATGATCCCAGCCTGCAAGCAGACAAAATAAACAGAAAGCCTAGGTGATCATGCTGACTGGGTTCCCTCTTCCACTAGCCATACTTCACACTGGGGGTGGGTGACCAGTGGTCAGCACTTTGAACAGCTCAAGGTGACTGTCTGGAAGTGCTGCTTACTCCAGAGAAGGCAGAGAAGGAAAATCACATGAGCTCAGGGAGTATGAACCACACAGATGGCAAATCTTCCCATGAAAATTCAGTGAAACAAATTATCTTGTGACATGATGACAGGATTTGCCAAAATATGAAGCTTTACTGTTGAGGTTTTCCTCAAGTAGAAAACAGTAAACATTAAAGACCCTTGTGAAAATTATCCACAGATCAAACAGTAGTTATTAGCATTATAAGATATGCACATTATTGTGAGTGGAATGAGCTTTTATTTCCTTCTGCTCTATCATATGCTTGTTTATTTTGTGTGTTAAACTTTAAAACTATGGTATTGAGTGTTCTTTTGTGCTGATTATTCTATTACTCTTCAGAATTCCTTGGTTACCAGAAGATCTGGATGTGCTTTGATGTCCTTTTTTGTAATAGAGCATTGGGATTCACTTATGAAAGGTTTATCTTGATAGGGTGTTAGCACCCATGAGAACCTAATTTTAACTGAGCCTTCCTACCTAAATATTTAACAGTTCAGGTTTAATCATATAATTAATTCAGTGCTCTAGTTTCCTCAATCCTATCATTACTAGATTAAAAACTTTAAGCAGAACTGAGTCTAGAATTGGTTGGCTCTGATCCTAACACCTTCTACTAAGATGTCATCCCTTTTCCTATATAGTTTTGGTCAAAGTCCCTCAAGATTTATCACTCTAATTGTACTCTTTGCCTGAAAACAACAAAAGTATCCAATGAAATCAAGGATTCATCAAGTTAAAACTTTGAGTGGTTTGAGAACCAGAGGGAAGAGAATATAAAAGTCGTCATGGAATGACAATGGTATATGATCATGGGGAACTATGGAGGGGTAGAAGGTGTGGAAATCAGATCTGCATGCCAGTGCTACTAGTCTGGTGAGCTTTGGTCTGTCTTGGAGCTAAGGAGATGGCTCCCACAGCCTGTCTGCTGGCTAGAGAGCTGGCTGCAGTCAATGCAATGCAGTTGAGGGAAGATATGATGCAACTATTCATTGCTCCATCTTAGAATCTGGATGCAGTAATGTCTCCAGAAAGCTTCAGTTGAATTCTTGAGATAGAGACCATGAGAGGAAACTCTTCCCATTTGGCTCTTCCCATTCAGCCACTGCACCTTGGCATCCCTTCTAAACCTCTAACCAGATACTGTGTTAAGTACCTTTATGCATATGTCAATGCTTGGGTCCATATATCTATAGAGTTAGGTATATAGCTCTCCCAAATCAAATTTTTAAACAAGAACTAAAGCATGTTTGGATGTAGGTACCATGACCTTTTGCCAGTCATATATAGAATTTGTTTTAACTTAAAGTTTTGGAGACAGACTTGAAGGGAGACATCCCCAACCCTGTAAAATGTAAGTACAAAAAGGCACAAATTGGATGGATATTGATGATGTTGTATCTATTTTGACATCATCCATAGACTCCTAGTGTCTTTGCTTTGCTTCCCTATAGTGATCACAACATAAATTACTTGTCTTGTTTGACTTCCTTGTTCACCAAAGTTGAGCAGATTGTGGCCGTTTTCAACGCTTCTACCAGACAAAAAGCTTGGGACCATTTCTCGAAAGCTCAGCGCAAGAACATAGACATTTGGCGAAAGCATTCTGAGGTTGGTGATTTTATTATTTCTTTTTAACCACCATCACACAGCTGGATTGGCAGAGAATAGTTGTGGCTGCAACCATTTTGGTTTTTGTTATCATGGGCAGTCCTCTTGCCATTGTCCTGTCTCATCATCAGCTCCAAATCCAGTTCAAATTTGTTCTTTGTCCAGAAAAGCAGCTGACTTCACACTTAGAACATATTTTCCCCTGCCAAGGAAGAAAAGAATCTTCCCCATCATAGTGAAGAGCTCAGAAATAAACCAAGACACTTTGCCTAATTAACTTGAAGAAAAGTATTTCCTAATATAGAAACTAGTTTTTAAATGCAGATTTTTTTTCAGTGTTCTATGTGATGATGACAGTTTGCTCTTTGGGCAAGAAGTGGCAAGTTTGCCTTTCCAATGTTCTTATCATAAGCCACATCTTGGTCCCCTGTGCTAGCCCTTAGGTTCTATCACACCTCTCACCAGAGCACATTTCACAAGGGGTATGATTGTCCAGGCTAGCTGAGTCCACCCTTCAGCATCAGTGCATGTGTCAAGTGTGAGTATACAAGGAATGAGTCCAGAACTTGACCTAGAAGACCCAGACAGACCAAAATGTGTCATTAGTCATTGGTCATCCAGCTGTTATTTTTAAACTCTACAGTGTAGTGTACGCTTTGAACCTGTAATTTAAAAGTAAGTATACTGTCTTTGCTTGCTTCTTTTTCTCTTAAATAAGCGAATGTTTCCATCTGGATGCCTCTTCATCTCTAGCATGTTAATATTAAAGTTCTCTAAATGGTAGTCCCCTTTTTCAAAATCACAAACTTATAGAAGGTAAGGTTTATTTATTTAATGATTTTGGCTCACACTTGTAAAATAAATATTTTATAAAGAGTTTGAGGAATCACAAAGTACTGTGATATCAATCATTTGGGTAGCATTTTAAGTGCCCATTAACTAACGCTAAATTACAGTTGAATACCAATGGCACTAGATGTAACATCCATATGAATACCAAATTACTTCCTTATTATCACTGTTATTATGGTGAATACTGAATGACTTTATAAAAATGGGACACTTAAAATACTAGTGTAATTTGTTGCTAAAATGGGTGTTTTAAAACTTTTTTTCACTAATGCCTAAAAAAGGTGGTTGGTGACTGATATGATGCTATTTTTGTGTTCAGGATTATGAATAAGGAGAAAGTGGGATTTCTTTTTAATTTGGGGTGGGTCCCCAGAAAAAGTGTGCTCTGATGTTCTGCTGTTCTGCCTGACACCGTCTAGGAGAGCCAAGTCAAGTTGATTTTTCAGGAGGAAAAAAGAGCCCTCTGTTTATGATATAATAAAAACATTGAAGGTTATGAAAACAAATTGGAATCCATAAGCTGTGACTCCAGTATGGGATGATAAGTCTGTGAATGATTTAATTTTTTTCTTCACATAACACCCAAAAATGATTAACAGAAATTTTAAGAGAAAGACTGGTGGTATGGTGCAGAATAACCATGGGCATGAAAAAAGCCATCATTAGTGCGCATCAGCAAATATCAGATATCGCTCTAGATTATACTTCCTGCCATCTCTGACTCCACTTCCCACCATCCTTTTTAACTACTTCCTCTTCGATTGGTGCAGTACTATCCAGAGCAGCACCTACAAGGCTTCCTGACTGGCCCGAGGAAGCTGCTTGCCCTTTTTGCTTAGTCCTGGGAGTGGAAATGTCTGCTCCAGAGGGATGGATAGTATATAGTCCTCAGAGGTCCTCCTGCAAAGGGTCTTTGTGCCTTCCTGCCACTTCAGCTGCCTGTTTTGGTATACATTAGGAAATAGAACTCTAAATTACCTTTGATTTTCTCTCCTACGTGTCGCTTAATTGATTAAATACCACTTGCTAATTTAACATTGTGGATGATTTCTCAGTTGCATATAAGCTTGATAATTGGCCTGATTTTTTTCCACATTCCCATGTATAGCATCTGTTAATTATCTGTAACACCTCTACAGATTTATTAGTGTACTAGTGATTTACTGCTGAACCAGAGGCAGCCTGTGGAAACACCCTCAGTTTTTCTTTCCCACAATGTTTTCCCATTCTGCCACCTTTCCCCACAGAAACAACTATCATATGATAGTTTGTCATTAATTGCAGGGACTAAACAGGCCCTTTCAGGCTCATTTATTCCTTCCACCTGACTTCCCTGTTTCAAGTGTTTTTAAACTACCTCTTTAGAAATTAGACTTTGTCAGTAAAAAAAATTAGCTGTCCAACACCTAAAAATTTCCCCACTAATCCTGTGTGACACTGCCTCCAAGATCTGTGTTATTTAAGGCAGAATTGGTATGTCTTCCTTACAGGTGGTATAGCCAACTAAAGTGTCTGTTATCCTAGCGGTCTCCTGGCTGCCCTGTAATTGCCACTCCCTAGGCCTTGCCTGTCTGCCTTGTCCTCTTCTGTCCTTTGCAGGGTAAAGAGGTGACCATTCAAATACTTTTAGCAATAAATTATTTCCTTTCCATCATGCTGCAGTTCTAATCTGTGAGCTCTTTAGAAAAGTGAATTTAGAGCACCTTCAACATGAGGTGATAGATCCACATCAAATGACCACTGGAAATACGTTTGAAGCCATGCTACTAATATATTAGTTTTATTGTTACTGATAGGTTTACTGTAAGATAAAATTATTTTAACTGTTGAACTTTTAAAGATTTCAATTTAAATGAAGAGAAAAGAATAGTGGAGCCCTTTCCATGTTTTAAGTCTTTTTGAAGACAGTCTATATAAGGGAACAGAATGAATAAGGTTTCATAAATAGAAAAATAAACTTGGTATAAATAACGATACACTTGTTTAGCATAAACAGTATAATGTCCCCATTTTAGACACAGTAGTAGAAAAATTGTGTAATTCTTTTTACAATGGGCTTTCACATAAGCTATTGTTTTATTATTGCTTCCCGTATAGATGAGTAGACAAAGGCTCAAAGAAGTTGAATCACATGATTACAGTCACTCCCCTATTCAGTGTAGAAAGGAAGATATAATCTTAAGATCTATGGCCCCAAAAGTGATGCTGAAGCAGCCATCACCACAAACCCAAAACCTCTGCATAATAATGTGAAACCCACAAAAGAAAGCATCCTTTTATTTTGTTTCCAAACCTCTTCAAAGCTTAAATTTTGGCTATCTGGATTGTAAAGGTATATATGTGGTCAAATATAAACCAATGCAGAGGCTCTGTGTTCACATGGAAATAGCAGTGGTTAATATTATCTTAGCAAAACAAATGTCTAGAGTAATAATGAGTATTTTACATGCATTAACTCATTTAATCCACAAACCCTTAATATCATAATATTCCAGTGAGAAAAATTGAGGCTAATATATATGAAGAAATGATCCTAAAATTAAACAATGGGCCAGTGGTAAATTAGGCATTTTTAAATCTCCATTACTCCTGTTCTTAGCCAACAGCTGTAGTCCCTGTTATGAGCCAGCCATATAATCGGTATTTCTGTGTAATCCTTGCAAAAGCCCTGCTAAGTATATGTTATTATCCCCTTCTTTTTCTAAAACAAACAAGGAAGTACACATTCAAGAGAAGTCAAATATTTTGCTAAGAAGCCCTTAACTAGTCTTTGGTGAACAGGAATTGATTTCACTTTACACTAAAGTATACGTCATCCCCTCAGAGCTTCATTCTAGATTAGGTGGGGTGATGTTTGGATAAAAGATTCAGGCTATAAATGTTAACAGGTCAGTCATAATATACCCAAAGACCATTGAAAAATTGTATGATGAAGTGTGTCTTAGACTCTGATCTTCATATATCCTCTACTTTCAGGAGCTCCGGAACGCTCAAAGTGAGCAGCTCATGGGCATCCGCCGCGAAGAGGAAATGGAAATGTCTGATGATGAGAATTGTGACAGTCCTACTAAAAAAATGAGAGTCGATGAATCAGGTAATGCTGTTAACTGCTACATACCCATGAAGTATCCTAATGAGCATCCAAATCTTAGACTGGGAATAAGTACCAGAAAATGGAAATATAGCTCACTTTTATTGGAATTATACTAAAGTTTTATCTTTGAATGCCTCTGTGTTTTATTAATAGGACTTTAAACTCCTTCTTAGGAACAGAGTGATTTAAATTGCTCCAGTTGTTTCTTCATATGTAGATCTGGAGCAGTTACACTTTTTTCAAGGATACTTTCCTGTTCCCATAAAAATTCTTTTCCAGAGTATGGCAGCCACAGCCAATGCTGAACTACAGATAAAATTTGATTTCAGTAGTGTACTTGTTACTTAAGAATTGTTTAATCTCTAAAGAATCTTTCTAGCCTCTGAGCCAATATGATGGAAATTAGACTTTTTCCCCCAATAAATTTTGGTTCACTTAACCTGTAATCAAAAGTGTAGCCCCATTTGGTACCATACTAGGGGCTTCACTTGAACTTTGAAAAGGAGGAAAGTTTAGAAAAGACCTTGCTTTGTGTGTTCTGTCCACTCTGAGATACTGATTAAGACTCTTTGAATCATATATAAGTTCTTTGGTCCTGTAAAAGTAAACAAGGAGATGTTTATTCAAAGTCTGAAACACCAAGAGAAACAGCTTGTCTGAAGGGCAGGGGTTAACTAAATGACCTGAGAAGACTCACGGTTGCTACCATTGCCAGAAAAGAAAACTAGAAAGATGGTACAGGTTTGAGCTGTCTTTTCATACACACCCATGAATAAAATACATGCCTGTCTCAGATTTTTTAACAGAAAGATTTCAAGTGACTAGAAATAGAGGAGTTTTGCTAATCTGTTGGTAGAAGTTTAGGAACAAAAGTAAAAGTTATTTTTGCTTTCTGTGTTCATTAACATGAACTGAAAATAGACTAAATAGGAGAAAAGATACATAAATGTATGGCATACGGGGAGGTATAATCATTTACCAGTCCAATAGGATTCAGAAGCATGTATACTTTTTCCCTAAGCAAGGAACAGAATGGAGAATAGAGACAATTTTTAGAGAAATAGTAAATTATTTTTAGGTGGGCTTGGAGAAATATACACTGTCCTGAGACAAAGCCCCAGTGAGTCCACACATAAGATAATGGATTGTAAATGTTTCTCTTTGGAATGTTGAATGGGATCAAAATAAAAGACAAGAATGAGTGACAAAAATCTGTCCACATGTGTTAACAGATTTAGTCTCTCTTCCTGCAATATGGGTTTTGTTATGAAAGCTTAAGGAATGGACCAGAGATAATTGTGTTCTTCCTTGGGGAGTAGGCTTTTAAGTGGACAAGGAGAAATCAGATGCAGTCTGTCTGTTAAAAGCCTCTTCCGGCAGCTATTGCTGTCTTAACTTCCTGCGACTTAAGATAATCAGTACTCCAGGATATTTTAGACAATGACTCTGGATACACTTAGAAGCCAAAATCAAGATTTCAAAAAGACCAGGCCATCAAGATTGAGGGGTTCAGACAATCACAAGAAAGCCCCTGCATCCAGGTCATACTCAGGAGGCCTTAAATCTCTGAAGCAGTGCTTCTCAAAAGTGTGGCCTCTAATTTATATAAACATCACTTAGGAAATGTAACTTGAGGCTCATCCCAAACTTACTGAATGAGAAACTTCTGGAGGGTGGGCAAATGAGATGCAGCAGTCTGTCTGTGATTTAAGCACTGCAGGGAATTCTGATTGATGCATGCTGGAGTTTGAGAACCACTGCCTTAGCAAATTTGCCTTTCATCCTCAAATTCCATTCATTTAAATCTCTTAGAAGCTTAGCATACAAGTATGTACCATGCCAGTACTTTCTGAAGCCCTATATCCTTTGTCTGAAAAATAAACCTAGCATTTATGTGTCAATGGATGTCTCTTACTAAGCTGATAACAGATTTCTCAGGAGTGTTTTATTATGGGATTTAGATTTATTTGAGACCACCATCCTCACAGCATTTCAATTCTATAAGCCTTCCTATGTCAAAAGAAGGAAGAGTTAATGTGATTTTTTAAAAAATTCATTGAGACCTTGAGATAAAATTTTTGTTTCTAAAAAGCTTCCATCATATTTGAAGTTTATTGATGAAGGCTAAGTTAGATGAGACTTAGAACCTTAGCATCCTTATAAGGTAGAAGAAACAATCGAGTCAATTAGAAATTTTGATTTGAACCTGTGCCTTTGAGTTGGAGGGATGACATTTCTTTTTAAACTACTTGTCAATTTGCCAAGGTAGAAATGTGTATAATTTCATAGTCTGCTTAGGATGGAACTAGAATGACTGATGAGTATGTTCACGGGAGGCCTGCAAGCCAGGGCAGCATCGCATCCCTATGGGACCAGCACCTGACCCTGTTGCAGAAGTGTCCCATGAGATGTCAAGGACCTCTACCCCAGCAGAGTCAGAGGTTCTTTGTGGAGCTTGACGAATGAGCACTGTTCCTGACCTCATCCTCCAGACATCTGAGGAGAACGTGAAGTAGAACCTGAACTTATAAAAACTTATTCCAGGCTGGTTACTTGGTCCACAGAGTTAATAAACAAACACAGCCTGTACATGTTATCTACCAGGCACTGAGGGAAGAGATAAAACTGCAGTTCAAATGCCAGGCCCCAAGCAGTTCAAAGTCTTTCTCATGCTTTTCACAATGAGCTGGACCAGAGGATGCGGCCTGTGGTCTCTGAAGAAAGCACAAGACTGATTAAAAGGAAGGTGAAACAGCCAACCTTTTTTATTCCATTGGACCCTCAAGATCCTGCCAAAAGGCAGGCAGTTGTTTTTCTTTCAGCCCTGGGTATTCAAGGACAGGGCCTGACAGCAAGAAATTTCCATGTGGTCTTTTGACTAGACTGTACAGGAATCCCTGCTAATGGCTGCTTGAGGCAAGGGATGAGGGACAAGTCCGTAGGCTGAGGGAAGCGCCTTTCAGGAGCATCTTGTTTGTTAATCCAACATTCATCTTCAAATACAGATTTGCAACTGCCAGTCACCTGTGTAGAATCTGGCCTCTTAGACTGTGGTGCCCTGCATCACTGATGAAAAGTGCTGGATACAGAAAGAGGAGTACCATTCTCTGTCTTCCGAGGAACCTCTTGTTGGCCTCCTCTCTTCTGAAACAATGCGATTTTGCTTTAGTCTCCTAGGAAAGTAGCTGGCCCAGGAATTCTTAGGAAGTTAAAGGAAGAAAATCCTTTGCAAAGGAGGAGTCACCCACCTGTGCTAGGAGGATGGAGGGTATGTACCCCAAAGGACGTCCCAGGCTTGGACATCCTCATGCTGGCTTTGCTTGTCTTCTCCCGACTGGGACTGCTCTTAGGGTTTATTTCTGGAATGGATGGAGAGAATTAACTTTGTTTTTTAAAAAGGCACATTTTGTTATATAAGGACCTTAGGCTTAGTTTTTATTACTAATCAAACAATTTCAATATATCTCTGCTTTTCTGCTTATGAATATTCCCTTGTACTTTTACTTTTTACCACATAAGATAATTTATGGCATATCTGTGGCTGCAGTTCCCTAGCGCTACAATGTAATTCTGGACAGGCAGTTCATACTTCCTCATCCATTGATCTTAAGGGGAAAAGGAGTTCCTGGAAGCAAAACTAAGAAGCCGATAAGAGCAGAAATGCATATGTCAATAAACTTGAGGATATACAGATTTATGAAAATATCTGTTCAAGAAGATTAGCACCCTACTCTGAAGCATGTGAAAATACTTTTTTTGGTACTGGGGGTTGAACTAGGGACCTTGCACTTGCAAGACAGGCACTGGAACCACTGAGCTAAATCCCTGGCCCTCATGAAAATAATTTTTGATAAAAATTCAAATATATTATTATTTCTCTCTGCTTCTTACTACAGTGAAACCAAACTGTTATATCCAGATCCGTTATGCCTTTCTCCCTAACCTTTCCCTTTTCCCCCAGCTTCTCCACACTCCGTCTTCTTCCCCTCTCCTCTCTTGCTCCCCATGTCCTTCTCCCTTTCCCCTTCCTCTCCTCTCTCTCTCTCCCTTTCTCTAGGTGGTCAGTGGGTATGTTTCAGGTGTACACAAAGGAAAAAAGGCCTAATGTGACAGAGCCCAGTATTCGGTATTATGAGAATTTAATAAGCCAAGGCAGAGTACACAATGGGTGTTCAGTAAACATCGGCATTACTTAGCAAATCAGTCATTTTCCAATGTCTGGCTCTGAACCTTTCCCCAGGAAAGTGCTCAGGAAAAGTTTCTTTACTTTGATAGCATATTCCCCTTCTTCTGGTTTTAATTTTTTGATATCTTTTCCCTGAAAGTCAAGAGGAAGATAGTAACCATTAGAACATTTGCTCTGATTAAATTTAAAAGACAGGTATTAAAAAGCATTCTCACATGGATGGTTCCTTTCTTCAGAAGGTTCAGAATTTAATACAAAACTCAGTGCCACATGCTCAATAGGCCTAATTCTAATTATGGACCAACATTAGCAGAACACCGCCTGTTGAAGGCACTGTGGACCAGGGTAGAAAAGAGTTAGATGTGTTGGTGGTGGAACTTAGCGGTAAAGCACTTGCCTACCACGGGCCAGACCTTGCGTTCCATGCTCACTACTGCCCCCCCACCCCCACCCCCGCAAATGTTGAAGCCAGTGTGAGCATTCGCATCTGTAATTCCAGTACTCTGGGAGGCTGAGGCAGGAGGATTGAAAGTTTGACCCCTGACCTAGACAATTTAATGAGACCCTGTCTATAAATAAATAGAGACATGGGCCGGGGATTTAGCTCAGCAGTTCGGTGGCCTGCCTCACAAGCGCAAGGATCTGAGTTCAATCCCCGGTACCAAAAATAAATAAATAAATAAATAGAGACATGTGGGGATGTAGCTCAATTGAAAGCCCTGGGTTCAACCTTCATTGCCCTCTTGCCCTGGTAAAAAAGTGAGATGTGGGGACCCTACCCCCAGGGTAAGATATAACTTTTGAAGAGAATAAA